GAAGTCTTGCCAACAAACTTAACGATTATTTTTTATACAATAGTCAAACAAACCTGCCTTAATTTGTGTTTGTGAAACTTTTTTCAATGATAAAATCCCTAACTCCATGGTCCATTCAAAAATTTGTTCTATTTATCGTAAGGATAAAGCATAAACAGGATAAACATGCAAAGCAGCATTATATAACTCGTTATAATTCAGTATAGTTACCAACTTTAAACATTTTGTTTTACAAAATAATTTAATTAGTTCAATCCTGCTATAATCCCGAAAATCCCGGGATTTTGTGTTTAGAATCCCGGGATTTTCAGGACCCAAAAACGTCCGGGATACCGGGATTGCAATCCCTAACTGCTACTAAATAATAAATTGTACTTCTATTTTAGGTTCCATTAGAAGTTAGAATGTATTTGAAAGATCAGAGGGCAAAAATAGGTCCTAAGGGGTTGTTTCAACTTGGATCCATTGATTGTAAAAGTGTTAATAAGACAAACAAAACTTCTGTTAGAAATAAGAAATGTCAGAAGCAGATTTTAAATGAAGTTTCTCAAGAAAAATGCATAACATATACATCATTTTACAACAACATGAAAAGATTAGATTCAGTAGCAGTAATAAATGAAGATGAAGACTTGAAAAGTTACAGTAGTGAAATGAGTGAAGTATTAAAGGTATTATATTTGTATTGTGTTTTTGGATATGTACATTTTTAATATTTATACTTATTAATATATATACTTTTAATATTTTCAGCATTGTCATAGACTCCTGTTAACATTGACAATGAATGTTGTTACAAAGCAATTATATATGGAGCTTACATCTTCTTTAAATCATCACGATATGCTTTGGAATTAATTAGGGCTGATGTTTCATCAAGAATTGGGGCTAGCCTTGGTAATGCTTTTCTCTTAGATTTGCAGGCTACAGGCCTACTTGTGCCAAATCCTTATTTAAATACTGTATTTATTGACAAATCAAAAATTGATAGACAGAAAACTAGAGTGAAAAGTATAAGTCAAAGTAAGCATATGGAGGATATTAATGGATATGTATAGGATATGTATAGGAGTTGATGGAAAAGTTGACAAAGACACTTTATTTTACAGAGAAGTTAAGAATCCAAATAGGAAAATTAATCTAAGACAAGATAAACACTCAGAGCACCATTTAACCTTTACAGTAGAGTCTGGGTCTGAAATTGGATCATATCTTACTCACAGAGTCATTCCGATAAAAGGTGCTACAGGACATTTGTTAGGAGATGAGGTTGTTAGAGTCTTAAATGATTTTAAGATTGCTCATTCTCTAAAAGCTATCCTCCTTGACAATACTGCTAATAACACTGGTTGGAAAAAGGGGCTTGTAACAACTATAGAAAAAAAAAACTAATAGCAAATTGCACATTATTGGCTGTTCACTTCATCAAAATGAACTTCCCTTTCGAGCTATTTTTAAGTATCTTGATGGAGGCACCAAAAGCCCTAATTTGTTTAGTGGTTTGTGAAAATAACTACCAAGAAAAACTTTGTGAAAATAACTACCAAGATCTCCCTCAAGTTGACTTCATAAAAATTAGCAGCCATGTAGATAACATACATTTTGATGAAAAGACATTAAAAGACTTGAGTAGTGATCAAAGACTTCTTTTAGAATATGTTCTTGGAGTTTCAAGAGGAAATGTTGATCATAAATATGCAAAGTGGAAAATTGGGCCATTAAATCATGCTAGATGGTTAACTTTGGCAATTCGATTATTGTGTCTTTGGACAAGAGGCACATATCTTCCAGAAATGCAAGATAAGCTTCACCAAATTATAAAATTTATTGTGCAAGTGTATGCAGTTAGCTGGTTTGAAATAAAATTGGATAATAAGTTTCACAATCAGCAGTTTTACATATTCAATATGATTAAAAGAATTAAAGAACAGTCTGAGGAAATCAAAACTATTGCGTTAAAAAACTTGCAACACAAAACTATTGCGTTAAAAAACTTGCTTTTGCTTTGCTGCCTGAAAATATATTGTACTCCATGATGAAATCAGATGAAGATAAAGTCAGAGAAGCTGCTACCAGAAAAATTTTAAGTATAAGGTAAATATTTTATTAAAATAAAATAGTTCATATAAAGTTCTATGTTTTACTCAAAGGTGACAGGCAAATGGAAAGAGTCATAATAAACGGTTGAGCATTTTTTGAAAAAATAAATTGTAAACCCTTGAAAATTTTTACCAGCAAGCAGAAAAATTAAGCTCCAAATTACTAAATGTGCAATTTTGGGTGGGTATGAAAAAAGTTCACAATTGATAATGCGCCTGAACGTTTATTTCACACCTTGGAGTAAAAATATAACAAAAAATTCATTTATTAAACTTTGTGTTTTTGAAAAAATCTAAACAAAATCAAAAAAAGATTTATATTTTGAGAATTTAAATTTAATTCTTTTAGAAGTATGAAAGTGCCTACAAAAAGATTAAACAAAATCACTACAATAAAAACTGATGCATATCATTGGTCGGATTTAGCAGACCTTTCTCAAACAGGTATTTGTGAACCAGCTCACTGAACACATATTATCTAAGCATTTACAAGAATCGTTGCTAAATGGAACCAAGTTTGAGTTACCGGGTCTGCCTTCTCATACTCAGAGTGTTGAGAGAGCTGTGAAAATGACATCTGAAGCTTGCCATACAGTGTATGGAATGGAAGCAAGGCATAAACATATCATTGCGAAAAATTAAAGTCATCAAAAGAGACCTAATTTTTCTTCGAAGGGTTTGTATTGTCAAAAGTATGATGACATTTTGATCTGAAGTATTTTAACAACAAATAAAACCTTTTTATTGAAGTTTTTTTTTGTTTTTTTGATACAGCATATTTAAAAAAGTAAAACAACAAAGTTACAAATGAAACTCGTTTTGATGCATTCAATTTTATAATAAGCTATTGTTTTTATATTTTTTCAATAACCCCATCATATCAGCTTTTATAGTAAAACTAAATTTTATTTCCTCAAAAATTGGCTATCAAAAAAATTTTTATTTTTTGTTTTTACTTGTTATTATGTTACTCTGCACCCATCTCAACTTGTCCAATGTTAAAATCGAAAAAAAAGTTGAAAATCGACCCACCTTATTATTCTAGTGTGGGACCCTGGAAAATGCTTACAGTGTAGAACACAATCTTTTCTAATAAAATTATCTGTGATCCAATGCGCAGTCAATGATATAAATGCATCATTACTATGGGTATTTGTCCAAATATATGTTGTAAACGAAATATGATCAGCTGCAGAAATGTCATTAAATACTATGGTTTTTAATTCTTCATATGATGATGGAAGCATTGTTTCCTTAAAAAACTTTCTACTTGGAATCAGGTATTGTGGTTGCAAGTGAGCAATCAATTCAAAGAACCCCGATCTTCAACTACAGAAAAAGGTTGATTGTAAATTGCAATAAAATTTATTATTCTTTGATTAACTTTGGAGGAGGGATTTACATTATGTCCTTTACATTATAAACTTTTTTACTTACAAAATCATCTATGCTAGTTTGTGTCTGTGACATAATTGCTTTGAATTTTTTTTCTCGTGGTGTTTCAGCTTTTGATTTTTTTCTTCATTTTTTGCTCTTCTTGTTTAGCCACATCATATGTATCTATATGATATATTTTTAAAAGCGTATGAAGTGGTGTTGTGCTAAATTATTTTGGGGTACTACCATGTTTAACATTTTTGTGGCATAATTTACATTCTGCTGATGTATCTGTGGAATCATTTGTTTTAAAATATCTTCAAACAAACTAAGGAAAAGACATTTTTAGATGTTCAAATGTAAGTTTAAATAGTTAAAAACTATAGGATGCAGTACAAATACAGTAAAAATTTATATTTTAATATAAATGGAAAAATAAAAAATAAAGAATTAATTTTAAATATAAATAAAAATGCAGGTAAAAATAATTATGCAGTTAAAAATTTACAACATTTAAAACAAATAAAAATAAAATTATTTAAATAAGAACAAAATGAATGAAATAGGTTAAATATATATTATATAGCTAAGATGATGAGGTGCAATTCAATTTAATATTGAAAGTAAAAAATAACATAAATATAATTGTCATTCCGGCCGGAATTGAAATAATTCATTCCAGTACAGCCCTAATCTCTCTCTCTCTCTCTTTCTCTGTGTGTGTGTGTGTGTGTGTGTGTCTATACATATATATATATATATATATATATATATATATATATATATATATATATATATATATATATATATATATATATATATATATATATATATATATATATATATATATATATATATATATATGAATATATATATATATATATATATATATATATATATATATATATATATATATATATATATATATATATATATATATATATATATATATATATATATATATATATATATATATATATATATATATATATATATATATATAGACACATATATAAATTAAAAAAAAGATTTTTTGTTATGCTGCTTTGACAAATACTTAATTTAAAATAAAAAAGATAGACAAATACAAGTATATCAGCATAAAACTTTGATATTTGTTTGTTTTGTTTTTATAGTTTATTTTAAAATCTAGTAATAGTTCAACCTTACAGATTTGTTAAATAAAATATAGAAAACAACTATAGACCTATTTTTGACCAATAGTGTCCTATTTTTTCTGGATTCTGTAGCAACCAGTTATTTACAAACAATAAATAGCTAAAATAAATAAATATGCCAGGGACTTAAGCTCCATTTCTATAAACTTTTATAGAATAGTTTTTTGTCATAAATTAAAAAAAAAAAAAAAAAAAAAAAAAAAAAGATTTAAGAGTTAACACACAACATCAACCTTGTACTTTTTGCTGTGATCATGCATTAATTAAATAATATTTTATATTATTTAATGAATATATAAAATATATATTTATCTAAAATTGCAAAATGTAAAAATCAATCTCTAACCATCAGGAGTAAATGCTGCTGAAGTCACCGGACCTTTATGTGCAGTAACATAATGTGTTTCATACTGACTGACAGGAGGGCTGGTTCCGTGTTCTAAACAAAAACATTAAAACATTTTATATTTAGTTAAATCTAATTATCATTTACATTGTTTTAAATACAACTCATTAACTACTAACTTATAAATTTTAAATTATTGAGTTTCTTTTCAATTAGTCAAAAAAATTTTGTTTGAATAAATTTAATTAACAATAACAGATATCTATAGATATGTGTTTTACTGTTGAAGATAAGCAACTTACAGGAATGATACAAATGTTCAACTTTGGAGAGTTGAGAATAATCAGAACCTGAAAACCTTCAAGTAAAAATTTTCTCCTATGAATTCCCAGTACAATTATAGTGGGAAAAATGTTTTTAAAAGATATTTTATAAAAACTAAACTAAATCAAAGTTTGCAGAAAAATTTAAAGTTTATAGCCAGATCTATGGCTAGGCTAGCCCACACACCACAATTGAGCAAATTAAGGAGACTATTTATTCAAATTTAAGGTTTTTTTTAATTTAATACCTAGTGGAAAATCTTTGAAGATTTTTGGGCCCTTCTGAGAGGTTTTTTATTTTACCAGGGAAAAAGAGAAGGGGAGAAAGGGAAACCAATCCAATACACTAGCCACAGCACCGTTTATAGCAATACTTCTACATTTAAAAGTCTAATTTACTTGAGGTTCTTTTGGCTAGCTTTTTGTAAATGACATATTGTTAACTTGTTAACTAAATTTGCAAATGTCAAAAAAACTCTTTAAAATTAATTTAACTTGATAATTTTGGTTTAATTAACGTTTTTTTTTCTTTTAGTTTTATTACTTGTAGTCTTCAGCATCAAGCAAATTTTGTATAACTTTTAAATTTTGCTGTTTTAAAAAAAAATCATTTATAAAAATATAATTATAACAAAACTTAATTATTTCTTATGTACACTAATAATCTTCCTGACAATCTTACATCTAAAGAAGCTCTTTTTGCTGATGACTAAACTTTATACTCCTGTCTGGAGTTGTCTGGAGATGTCTGGAGTTGATATTTGACCGGGGCTGGGTTTGATAAAATATAGCTGGGGCCGAGTTTGTGACCGGGACTGCATAAACATTTATATATCCAAAAGTTTTTTTTTAATTCAGAATTCATATTATATTTTGTATATAAATGCATATATAAACATCATTATGATCAAATTGATCATCATAATCATCATTACTATCATCATCATCATCATCATCATCATCATCATCATCTTCTTCTTCTTCTCTTTAGGCAAATACTATACCATATAAATACTAAAATTTATATAAGTATGATAGGATATTGTATGCCAGGATCTAAATAAATAACAAACATATATGCCAATATCCGAAATATGTATGCATAAAGCGCATTTCAGAAGCTTTTATTCCCTCTAGACTAAAAGTTTGGAAGCTTTTATTCCTACTCTTTGATTTAAAGTCAAACCTCATTCTACTCCATATTTTTCACCATCTTGAGCAGTTGTTTTATTAATCATTTATTTTATCTTTTTTACAAAAGCATCTCTCTTAAAATCAAATGTCCTTTTATTATTCCAAAAAGCCAGGGTAAAAAGATCCCGTCTGATGATAAGCTCTGTTATTCTCAGTTTACTAAATCTTGTATCTTATATCAGATGTTAGGTTCTAGAGACTTTTAGTTAGTTCAACTATGTCATTAACTAAAGTAATTGTAATATTTAACTTTATTAATTTTATAATATTTAATAATATTCTCATTCTCATCTCTTGTTCCATTGACTAAAACTCATTCTCGCTTGACTCGTCAATCATATAAGTCTCATTTGTTTACTGTATCTGTTCATGCATGCTTTAAAAATTTGTTTGTCTAGTATTTTCATAGCGCCTAAACTCTTTGGAACTTTCTCTTATCTTCATATTTTCCTGACTTATGCAATTTACAACTTTTCAAATCTTCTGTCAACCATTTCTTTGCTCTATGACTCTATTATTTTTTATCTAGTAACTCCCAACTCAATAGTATAGTAGTTGAGTCTAGCCTTGTTGAGAGTAAATCAGAATAATAATTAAAAAAAAAACAGTTGAACACTTTAAAACAATTTTTATTATTTTTATGTTTTGACCTTCGGTAATATATAAGTCGAGAAGGCTAGAACCCTTGTTATTTTTTTATCTACAGTATTGGACAAAACAAGTGCAACTAAATAATGCTAATTTAGTGTCTTTATATAAAAGTGCTGCATTTTTTCAATATAGAGAATAACTTAATCAAAAGTATTAAAAAAGTTGATTTCCTTCTGGACAAAACAATTGCAACTCCACAAAATGTTGACCAAGCTGTATTTCGCTATCAATAAATTGTGGCAAATCCTTTGTTGTCGATCACAGCCTTGCATCTTTAAGGCATAGATTCGATCAGGTGATTAGTGAAACTTTGTGGAATTGCTGCCCAGGCCTTTTAGATTTGCTCAAACAGTTGATCCTTATTACGAACACCTTCATGATTAATTCTGCTGTTGACGATCTCCCACAGGTTCTCAATAGGGTTGAGATCCGGAGATTGAGGTGGCCAATCAATCAACAATAAGTGGTTGTCTTGAAACCCTGCTTGACTACTTTTACAGTATGTTTCGGATCATTGTCTTGCTGAAAAACCCATTTTATTGGCATATTCCATTCAGCATGAGGTAACAACATCTTTCAGGATATTTTTATACATGAAACAGTCCATTATTCCATCGATTTAATGTATTGGACCTAGACCGTTAGCAGAAAAACACCCCCAGACCATTACATTGCCTCCACCATGCTTCATGGTCTAATGGCAGTAACGTAAATCAAGGCGTTTTCCGGCCGATCGACATACACAGTAAATGCCATTGCTCCCAATGATGTTGAACTTCGATTCATCACTGAACAGGACAGTTCGCCATTTCTGCACATTCCAGTCATTATGAGATGTAGCAAACAGGAGTCTTTTCTTCTGGTTCTTTAGTGAAATCAGCAGTTTCTTGCGGGGCGTCGAGAAAACAATCCGGCTTCAACAGCACGTCGTCTGATTGTTTGGTCCGATACAAGCAGCTCTAATTTTGTATCTTGACTGATGATATCCAGGGATTCTTCTTGACGGATCTGACGATCTTACAATCCTCTCTAGAAGTGGTGGAACGCGGTCTTCCACCTTTGTTATCTGCTGCCAACTTTCCCGTAGAACAATATTTGGAACATAGTCTTGATACGGTCCATTTTTTCACGCGATATTTATCACAAATACTTTTTTGTGACATTCCACTTACGTAACCGCCAATAATTTTCTTTCTTAATTCTAATCCAAGACTGTCGAGAACCATTTTTGCACTTGAAGTCATAAAAACAATAAAAATAAATAATTCTTCTTAAGGCTTACCGTGTTACATTTACCTTGTGATGATACAATAATGTCTTGGTTGGATGTTGACTGTATTGATGTAATGAAACACTTGTTGTATTTCACTTCTTGTATTGATGTTCTTCGATAAAACACTTTGATAAAACTCACTTCGATAAACTGCCTTGATAATACTGACTGATTGACTTCCATATACTGACTGATTGACTTCCATATACTAACTGAATTACATGTCGGTTTACATGTCTCTAATATAGTAAAATGAACCTGTTCTGGAAGATTCTAGATGCTTCTTTTCGATGCTTCTGGAAGATTCTGGATGTGTCTGAATGTTTCTGGATACTTCTGGATGCTTCCAGATGCTTCTTCTGGATACTTCTAGAAGCTTCTGCATGCTTCTGGAAACTTCTGGATACTTCCTTTAACTATTAAAAAACTTCTGTGACGTGGACCAGACTTAAGAAAATGAAATAAACCAAAAAAGTTGCACTTGTTTTGTCCACTGCAAAATGGCACTTGTCAACGAAATTCTGCCTGTGTGCTGTCACCTGTCAGCTGATTGCTCATGTCATGGCATATGACTCCAGAACTGTTTGCTGTTGTAGTATAGTTTGTTTTGTTTTTAAGAGATGTAAAATTAGGAACACTTTTTAGCATTGTTCGATGTTGGTTGCAAATGTTTTGTCCAATACTGTATATCAAGTCTTCTCAGGAGATGCGCATGGTTGCCCTTTATGACCACACATAATTTTTTTTATTGACAACCTGGCAACAAGAGCCATGCTCTTTGCAAGATTTGAAACTTGAGCATTTAAAAAATGAACTAAATAAACAAATGTAAATCTAAACTAAATTAAAAAATAAATAAACCATAAACTGAAAAGGGAAATAAATACTAAAAAAAAAATAAAAATCTTAAAGAATTATAAAATAAAAATCTTAAAATAAAATAAAATTAAAAAAAAATAAAAATGTTATGCTATTTTTTTCTACTTTATGCTAAGTCTTTATTTAACTTGAAAGTGTTTTACTTCATAGAATTTAATACTAGCCTAATCACAACAAAACTAAATTATTTAATCATTTGAAACTTTTATATTTTCTAATGTCTAGTAAAAGGTAAAACATAAAAAAATTAAATCCATAAATAGGATTTGAACCATCATCTGATGTTGTAAACCAACCTAAGCGCTATTCTAATATAGTGATGTATGTAATTATTAGGTTTGAACTATTAAGTAACTCCAAATTAAAAAAAATATAATTTGCCTATATTTTGTCTGGTTTATTCTTTATTAATTTTTTAAGCTATTGTTAAGTTTTTTTTTTTTAATCAGACTATGGTTTGTTTATTTTTAATTATCTATTTAAATTAGTTTAGCTTTTTCAGCCTATTTTATAAACGCGCAAATTTTAAAAGTGTGCAAAAAAAAGTGGTCAAGTTGTAAAAAATAAATGTATTCACAGTCATAAACGACGTGCGACCACACGCCTTATATGACCACATCTTATGACCTCTCTTAATAAAGACTTGCTTTATGTACTTTTTTATATCTATTTTTAACATAATTTATTTTATTCTTTTTATTTGTAAAAATTTTTTTTTTTCAACCATTTCACTTTATCAATTCAGCCTTATTAACATGAAATAACAAATATTGTATAATGATGCTACCCAATCATACCCTAGGCTCACCCAAGGGAACAACAGCCATCATTCTTTTAAACAGAAAATATTGAATTTTTTTCAAATTAGTTTTATTATTCTTATGTTAATAATTTTAACGTAAAAATAATAATTTTTTTTAATAATTTTTATTTTAAATAAAATAAAGAGTAGAATGCGGTAATTTCGCCACCAATTGGTGTATATCTATTTTTATAACTATAATTTTATTCAGGAATAAGATGTTTTTATTTATTTTATTTAGAAGAAAAACCAATTTCTTATCAAATTATGTAAAAAAAAAATCTTCTTTTTGTGAAAACTTGATAAAAAAAATAATTGACAAAAATATAAAAAAACAGGAAATTTAAAATTTAAAAATCAATTTATTTCCATTCAAAATTTAAAAGACTAAAATATTGGAAATTTTATAAAGAATCTTTGTATTATTTTTTTCTTTCGAATTTTAATCAGTTCCAAAGTTATTACGGAAATACTAAATGGGGGATTTTTGCCACCTATTTATATTAAATAGAAATGCAATTTGATTGAATAATAATATTATTTCCATTCCTCTTGTTTTGGTAATTAATTTGTAAGGTCATGTTAGTCTTATAATCAATTCAAATTAATTAAATTGATCAATTATCAGCAATGCCGCGAAACTACAAGAGAAAATCCTTCACCAATTATAGTGAAGAGCTAATGGAAAAAGCAATTGCAAAAGTTAAAGCTGGCAAACTGAGTTAGAAGCAATCTGCATAATTATACTGTATAGTATAAAAGGAGGGGGGGGAGAAGGGGACATGTCTCAATACCTCTCAGTATCGACGGCCATACCCCCACTTATTGAATATTGTTAGATTTCTTTTAAATGATTGTAAAATGTGGCAGTGGTGTAGTGGTAGAGCGCTCGCTTCATAAATGAGTGGTTCCGAGTTCGACCCCCACCACGTCCCTGGTAGTACCGCGCTCAACTTGTTTCTCCGTGCAGCGGCCTTGTTCGTCAAGGTTCGTGTTTCGGAGTTATAGAGTTGAGAGAGGGTTATAGCCACAAAATAAGTAGCCTCCTCGTCTGTAGTGGCCTTCTTGGCCTTGAGGAGGTGAAGTAAAATAAAAAAATAAAAAATGTGTTTTTAAGATTTATAATTTAAAATAGAAAATTGATGTTGTAAATAACATAGGTAATTTTGCCGTCCCATTTTTTCTGTCCTAATTATTTAAAAAAAAAAATTAAAGTATGTAAAGTTTATAAAAATATTAACAATAAAAAAAATTTCATTTTCATTTTTAGTTCTTAAGTTATTTAAATTGAAAGAATTAGTGGAGAAATTACCCCATCTTACTCTATAGCTGACATTTAAACTAAATAGATTCCTAAAAAAAAATTTTAAAAATTTAGATTTGAAAATGATAGAGGGGAACTTTTTATTAAGTTGACTTGTAAAACAGTAATGCCTTTAAACCTAAATATGAGAAATTCTGGCTAAAGTTAACCACAGGTTTCCTATTCCATTCCTAATTCAATTTTAAAAAAATTTATGCTCAAAACATAATTAAATTAATTAAATATTACTCACAATCTGTTTCTATAAATGGACATTACGTTGTTTCATATTTTTATAAAATACTTTTACACTTTCTGCAGATATGCTAAGAGTGGAACCGATTTGTTCAAGGTCATTCTTTTTAATCAGTCCTTTTTTCTCGTTGTAGAATTTTATTAATAATTCTTTATCTGATTTAAGTAACAAAGTTCTTTTCATTTTTTTTAAGGGTTGAACTGTAGCACTTTCTGTTTTATTTTTTATGCATTCTTGATAAAGTTTTCGCCGTTCAGAAGCTGGTTTCTTTAAAAACCTTTTAATTTGAGAAAGATGACTTTCTACCTTTGCCAAAGATTTATTTGTTTTTGATCGTAAAATATCTGACAAATAGCCTTGCGTTTTATTAATGACAGTTTTTGAAAAAATTGTTTGATTAATAGCATGCAATGAAATTTCTTTAAGAACTAACTCATACAAGTTTGAATATTTCCCTGACCTTGAAACATCAGCTTTATACTTTTTTTCAGTTAAACCTGATTGATTACTAACTTGCAAAGTTGGTTTATACAAAATTGTTAAATTATCTTGAAGCGGTTTAAAAGATGGATTTAGAAACTTTTCGTGAGTTATATATTTTGCTGACTCAAAAGTTTCTAATAGTTTGTCATTTTCTAACACATTTTTAGGAACAATACTTGGACATAAGCCAGGAGATAAAATAGATTCGTGTAAAAGACAATCGAAATCAGTCTCTCTAAAATCTGTTTCACTGCTGGCTGGAGTTAATTTCATTTCTAAACATTGAGTGCCTTCATGTTTGATATTTAAATCTGCAAAACTTATTCTCCTTTTTTGAAAATCAAAATCACAAATGTTATTTATACTAACATCTGATACCATAGAACATTTTTCGGACATCTTTAACCAATTACGTGTTGTATTTGGGCAGTCTTTAACTAATGGCGTTGGAATTAGGTTTAAATTACAAAAAAAATCAAGTTTGCTTTCACATGTATACTTATTAGTATATAAAGATGAATGACTAGTAGTTGAGGCATTGCTGTCTCTTAAACTATCTATTAAAGAAACATCAGAAAGAAGCCCAAGGTTATTCATTGTCTCTTCTCCACCACCGGTGTAGCGATCTACAAACAGAAAAAAAGAGAGATTTCAAAAAAAAAAAAAAAAAGTTCTTTGACAAGATATTGCATAAAAAAAGAAATCTCTCTTAATTTTCTCCTTGTAGATCATTTAAAAAGCAAGCTAACCAGTAAACGATCAATACCAAAAATGTATTCCACATTAAATTTGTTTTATTAAATATTTTCTTAATAACTAAGTAAAAAATTTACCATCTCTTTCATACTCCAAATCAAGCCCCAGTTTTACATTGGTGTCAAGTCCTGTTGCTTCTGGTTGCACTCTAGGAGTAAGACCTGGTACTACATCCAACTCAGGCTCCCTTCCTAAAAATTGTGCACTATATTATTCATTGGTTTATTACATTATTTAGTGCATTAATTAGTCATAAATAAATTATTAAAGATAAATCAAAACAAGTAATATACATATTTATAAAAATATCCAATTCAAGAAAACAAAATGATAAAAATCTAAATAATTGTAATTATATTATGCAGTCTTCTCCATTTAGCCAGCACTATTGAATTCAAGGCTAAAATAAATCATTAAAAATAATCAAAAATTATATTAAGAATGGCAAAACATTTGTTTTTCCATTCTTAATGTAAATATTTTATTAATAAACTTTTTAATTGATCTAGAATTTAAATAAAACCATAATTTTTAATAAATCTAGAATTCAAATAAAACATTTGTTTTGCCAGATTTTTTTATTATACTTTATTATTTGAATAAAATGCTTTTTACTATTTTTTTTTAATTTATATATTTTTTAATTTTTAAATAGCAGTTTTAAATAGCAGAATATGATGATTTCTTAAATTATGCAAGCCTAAGAAAAAATGACCATCAGGCATTAAACTTCAAATGGAGAAGACCGATTATACCTAAATTCTATTTTAAAAATATAGTTATACATTACCTGCTTTTTCTTCAAGTAAACCAAACTTAACTAATTCTAGAAGCCTAGATGATGGTGCAAGTGGCAAATCCTCGAGACCAACACATCGAGCTAAACTGGAAGCCACCAAATCCAGCCCATCATATCGCAATTGACTTTGTATTCCAAAAAAATAAAAAAATAATAAGCACTTTAAAATATCACGAAAAAATTGTATTTATAGTGATACTTCTTTACAGATTATTGAGTTTCAGATTATTTCAATTATAGTAAACTTTAAATATTTTCAAAATTTTTAATTAAAAAAGAGATCAAACAAAATAAAATTTTGTGCTCTAATGTTTTGAAAGTCTTCACTCTAATGTCTAAACAATTTTTTTAAATTTTTTATTTTACATAAACAGCCTTTTCAAGTTTTATTTTACATAAACACTTTAACAATTTTTCTTATTATAGAACTTTTTTATTGAAAAATTAACACAAAAAAATAATTTTATAACTATAATAAAAATCAAAAATATCTGCTGATATAAATTATAAAAATTATGGTTTGTAAAAATGTCTTTTATCTAAATTATTTTATAAGATTCTTTATTCAATAGCTTATCACATACAAAATATATAACAACAACTCACCTTATTATAAGTTTATACAATGTCTCTCTGTCTTTTAAAACATCAGACATTTTTTTCTTTAAAATATTAACTAAATATCAAACTAAAAGCTGTAAGTATATCACATCAGAACAACATATCACCAGTAACAAATATCTTTCAAAAAAGATATACTTGGCTGTTTAATATCTGAAAAAAATAATAAAAGCTTAAAAGTAGTCTTGAAAACTAAAAGAAAATAAGATAATAATAATTATAAATTTTATATTACCTACTCAGCCCTCGGAATACGACCCTCGAAGCCCCTCAGATTTTTTGACTTGGCATATGGCAATGCCAAGCCAAAAGTTTGAGGTCAGCAAAAAATCGCCGACCTTGTTTCTATGTTTTATGTTCAGACCTTTGTCTAATTGCTGACCTTAATCTAACAGATTAAGGTCAGCAATATATTGCCGACCTCATTTTTTTCAAATTTCTAAGGTTGCCTACTTATTACATATGACACACATAAAAATGTTATTTTGACAAAATTTACACAATATATCTTTCGAAGGTTTCGAATGATAGACAAAGTCAAAAACATTACTTAAAAATAACTTGTAATAGTTATTTTTATTAGTAATGTAAAAAAAAATTATAGTTATTTCTATATAAATTATAGATATTTAAGCCATTTATAACAATAAAATAAAGAAAGGGAAAAATGAAAACCATTATTGAAATTTGATTATCTTAGAATATAGGAAAAAAAAAAAGACAATTTACAAGAAAATTGTCTTTAAAAAAAAAAAATGCAATTTACAATAAAAATATCAAATGCAATAAATTTAGTACATGATAATATAATTTAGTTCAAATAAAAAGCAATTATATTACCAATTCAAAAGCTTGAAAAAAAAAAAAAAAGGGAAAAACTGGCTCAGCTAAACAATAGTATAGTTAAAACAATGCAGAAGGAAAGAAATTATATAAAATCTATTAAGACTATTTAGACATGTATCTTTAGATTACAAGATACATACATACACACAAAAAGTCTTAAAAAATTTTCACTATAAAAAACACACTTAATGTTTAAACTTTTGAACTTTTTAAAGAACTAATTACTAAACCATCAGTTTCACAATTAAAATAATAACTCTAGTGAACTTTATATGAAAAAAATCTTACAATTTTTTTTTTTCTAAAAATTTTTTTAATTCAAAATAGATTGCAAAAGATTTAATAAAACATCTTACTGCAAAAGATTGCAAAAAAGATATAACGATAAAAACTCTAATGATTATGTTAGCAGCATATTTCTATAAAATTATGCTAATTGAAAAAATATATACAATTTTATGGGAATTCTAAAATATCAATATTAGAATAAGAAATATAAGAAGACCATTACCAACAAAAGATATTGTATGATTTACAGAAATAAATTTTACATTATTATACAAAAAAAAAAAAAAAGGAAAAAACTTAAATAGTAAATTTACATAAATTTAATAAAAATACAATTAACAAATATTTTAAAAACTGCTCATAGTTGTTCAAAAGACTGAGCTTTTGCTTTGAATGCTTTTTTTCTGGCACTTGCTTCTTCCGCTTGTTTTCTTCTTTCTTCTTGTTCCTGGCGAATTTCATCTTCAAAACGATTTGTAGAATTTGCTTGCTTTACTTTCGCTTCAAAAAAATCTTTTGCTCCTAAAATGAACAAAACAAACTTTTTTTTTCAAGTTTTTAATAAGCATGTGTGCACAAGAAACATAGAGCTTATCAATTTAACTTTATTAATATAGCTAGGGTTTCTATTTACTTTATTAATATAGCTGGGTTTCTATTTTTAATTTTTATTTAGAGTTAACTAATTAACAAAAGAAAGAAAAAAAACATAAAAAGAAACAAAAAAAGAAAATAAAAAACAATAAACCAAAGTTAAAAGAAATAAACATTTGAAAATGGAAAGTAATTAAAAAGAATTTGAATTAAATATAAAAATTGCTCTGTTTTTGAAGAAAGAAAAAAAGAATAATTTTTAAATTTTATTAATTTTGAGGGACGTATGTTTTTGTTGTTGTTTTTTGTTTTTGCATTCTTTTGTATTGTTCACTGGGCATTGTAGTGTATAGTTCATATTGTTATATGATTTTGTTTGTATCGGTATGTATTTTTTTTAGTTTTAAATTGGTTGGAAATTTTTAAAATTGTATATATTTTTAAAGCTGTATATGTAAATATGTGTATGTATACATATGTGTTTGTACATATGTACACACGCATGCAGGTGTATTTATGTGCAAATATGTGTGTATGCATGTAACAATATTAAACTTTCTCATTTTTAAATGTTTTTTTGTTTTTCATTATTGTATCTTTAATTTTTATCATATTTTTGTTATGCCTTGTGTTATAGTATTATTTTTTTTAGTTTTAAATATTCACTGTAACCGCAATTATTATAATTTTTACCTTTATTATTTTATTTCTTATTTTATTCTTTTCAATTTAAATAACTGTTTTATGCCCTTATCAGTTGTTAGGTTTTATCAGTCAACTGTTTGTAACTAACTTATGTTGTTTATTTTATTATTATTGTGGTTCTTATGTTTATTACTATAAATATTATTTTTATTATTATCATTACTATTCTTATAATTATTATTAATTATATATATAAAGATCTATATTTTTTGGTTTACTTAAGTTTAATATGACTGCTATTTGTAAATTTCCATATACGCTTGTCACTATTTATATTTATTTTACATGCAACAAATTTTGTTTGAAATCCAAGACATTTTCACAAATAGGTAGCATTCCCCTTTACACAAACAAAAAAGTAAAATGTGTGGCCTAAATTAGGAAAAACCTATCAAGAAAAATGATATTTCATGTTGTATTAGATATGATAAGTTGAGTAATATTTCATTTATGACAATTTGAGTGTTATCTTTTTTTAATATAAGGAGCAACATCTTTAACATATCTTAATTTTTCAACTATTATTTATTTTCCAATCCAAAATTTAAAAAACTTGGAATACTATTAAAACCCTTTTTTAATTTTAAGCCTTCCTGGTATATATATATTTTTTTAACACAATTAAATTTACTTATATGACTTCTGCTTTTGTCAAACTCATTCTTTATATCATAAACCTCCATGCAATTAAAGTAATTTTTTACCTCAATAAACTTTTTTGTACTTTACTAATAAAATATACGAGTTAAAGTTCTATTTACTATTTCCTTTACTTGTAAAACTAAAAATGAAGTAAAAATTTTGTACCAGCAACTCCAGTTTCATCAACATTGATTTCTGTTAAATGAGCAAGTTGACCTAATCCAGAACTTGCTTCTAATTCACCCAATGCAGCTTTGCGAAAAATCAGTATAAACTAAAAAAAAAGTAGCAGTAGCTAGTTATAAGCTTAACAACTAGTTAATACAACAAAGGAAAAATTTTATTTTTTGTTTACAAAAAATAATTTTTAAATATAGTTAGATAAACTATTAAGGATTGTTACACTAATTGTCTACAAAAAAGTTATCAAAATACTTTACAAAAAAATAATTTTTTTTTGTGACATTTTTTTGTAAATATTTTAGACTGTTTTCGACATGGCTAACCGTATTTGGGCGCCACCCAAATTTAGAAATTGATGACATTTTTAACGGCAAAAATTGATTTTTTCTTGCAAAAAAAATGTCTATATACAGCAAATTTTCTTATGGAAAGACACCGTCCAAATTATTTTCCTAGAATAGCCCTGGTGACTTTATTAAAGCCAAAAAAATAAATAATTTACATATAAAACTTTTAGAGAACTCAAAAATGACAACAAATACAATATTATATGATATATTTGAGCCTTTCAGTTTCTTACAGGGTGTTACCCACGAATTTCATACAGCATTTTTGGAAAATTGGGAATTTAGGTGTGGCTAAAAAAAAAAAAAAAGGTGAGTATACTTCCATTTTTTAGATATAGTTAAATTTTAATCAAAATAAATATTCTTTTTTTTGCTGGGTGTTGTAGTTATAGCAGGATTATTTTTCTACTTTATAAATGTTTAATTCTAATTATTTAGCTTGTTTCATTATGGGCAACCTTCTAAAGTTTTCATTTTTAAATCGTTTCTCCTCTTTGTTTGATATACTGTAGCCATTTTTCAAAACACCTTAATAGGCTTATTACGTATTTCGAGAAAAACGTAATTAAAAAAAATTATTTGGAGAAACTCTATGTAAAACGCTTTTTGAAACTAATAATTTATATGAATTTTTTTAAAACTCTTTAAAAATATGTATTCAAAAACGTTTGTAGACATCTAAACTAGCTTATTTGGTAAAAAAAGCCAAATTAATTTTTTTTTACATAAGATGCTTTGAAAAACGGCTGCAGTAGAGAAGAGAGAAAACAAGAACTAAAGACAATTGTTTGCTGTTTTAATGAATGCATAATTAAATTTCATTGAAACTTTGATCTAGATTAATTGCGTACATCGTTTTTTTAATACAGTTTTAAAGGGTTTAAACGATTAGTTCTGAAGAAATAAATTTGACTATATAACTATTTAAATACTTTTAGTATTTTAAAATAATTAAAAAACCTTTTTACAAATGTCAAATTTTTATCATTAGATAAATTTAACAGTTTAAAAACTTATTTAAATCAATAGCTTTTAAATAAAAATTAAATGAAAGTTTTCGAAATCTTAACAACTTTTAATTGAAAAACTTGGTTGGCTCGCCGATTTCCGTCAAATATAATGTTTGTTAAAACAACTTTTGTTGCAATATGCTACTTTAATTTAAATAAGTAACAAAGACATATAGGGAGAAAGCGAGATTCTTTCACAGCACGAGGGCAAAAACTAAATTTAATTGGTGTATTTTAAATATCTAGTAAATTAGGTATTTAAATAAAAAAAATGTATTTAAATACAAAATTATTATTATTTTTTCAATTTACATTACATTCATTAAATTTCTACATAAAGTTTGTATTTGTAAATTAAAAAAAGAATTTTGTATTTATAATTATTGGTTAATATTATAATATTATTTAATTATCTTCTTTTACGTTTTACGTAAATATAACATAGTTAATATGTTTCATTGCAAGTTTTATTTTTGATTACTTTTGTTGTTATTTTCAATTTACTTGCTAATTTATTTTACTAAGAGTATTAATAAATCTTTTATTACAAAAACGTTATTAACTTATTTTAAAGTATAACATTTATCATTATGCAAATTTCTTTGTAACTTTACTAACTTAAGATAAACAGCAAAAACATAAATAAAGAGTTTTTGAATAATAAAAATAAATTAATAAAATAATTTATTAAACTTTAAAAAATCTTAACTCAAGATTAACTGACGTCAACAAAAATTAAAATAAAAAGTTTTTTTAAACTTTTGAACGAATGATCATGTTAATGTATGGACTTTTGTTAATGACAACACGTTTTTACACATTAAAAAAATCAACCAATTTAATTCATTTTTTTATCATGCTTGTAATTGCGTTTTTTATTTGTCTAGCGCGACACTTAAAATCTGAGCCTGATTTAATTTTTAAATATGATCTTATGAACCTTTGAGAATTTGAAAACAATTGGGAATACCCATTATATGTGGTGCCATCAGGCTGGTTAACACCCTGTCATAGTAAAATAAAACTCATACTGGAGCATTTTGGTTTCTTAGTAAAATAGAAGCAGAAATTTAAAATATCAAAAGTTTACCTCACGAAAACTAATTTGCCCATCCTGGTCTTCATCAACTTCCTTTATCATGGCTTTCAAACCTAAATAAGTTTGTGGCGCATTCAGTTTTTCCATCATGATTTGCAACTCATGTTGGTCTATATAATTACTGTTATCAGCATCATACCTGTAAAAATAAAGTATGACATTGTCATATAGTCAAGATTTTAACTTTTTTTCAATAAAACAACATCGTTTGTTATGATTTGTTTTATAGTTATATTCTTGAAAGATCAGCAGATAGGGATGTGAATAGTAATCTACTATATATAATTTTAATGTAAAGCACAGTTCTACTAACAATCAAGTAAAGCTTTTTGTTAAGTATAATATGTTAATGAAAAGCAATTATACAAACTACATTTTAGACTTTTTAGATTTATAGTTTGTAACAGCTGCTCAATAACTGAATTTTAAATGTAAGCCTTTTATTTTATTGTAAAGTATATTAGTATAAAAACATCATAAAATTATACTAAAGTACTTTACAGTTTTTTTTAATTATAACACTTTTTTCTAATATGTCAAGATCTTTAGAAAAAAAGTTACATCACTTAACTATATAAAACGACAAAGTTTTCAACAAAGTTTGGCATGCTGGTCTTCTCCATAAGCTTGCTTCATATTGTGTTTCTGGGAAAGGTTTTGAGATTATCAAATCATTTCTTTCTAACCGGTTTATTAAAGTCATCCTTGAAGGTCAACACTCTTCTTTATTTCCAGTAACTGCTGGGGTTCCCCAAGGTTCCATCCTGGGCCCTGTTTTGTTTCTTATCTACATAAACGATCTTCCTGACAACCTTTCATCTAAAGTAGCTCTTTTTGCTGATGACTCAACTTTATACTCCTGTCTTGACAAAAAGTCTTCTCTTTTCGATCGCCTAGAACAAGCAGCTGATCTTGAATCCGATCTCACTTCAGTAATAGATTGGGGTTCACAGTGGCTTGTGAATTTTAACTCTAAAAATACCCAGTTGCTTACTGCAAACAACTACCGTAATATGGTCAACATTCCTATATTAATGAATGGCAATCCTCTTACTGAGTCCTCCTCTTTACGTCTTCTTGGATTATCGCTTACTACTGACCTTTCATGGAAACCATATATACAATCGATTGCTAAATTAGCTTCTGCTAAGGTTGCTTCTCTTTATCGTGCTCGCCATTTCCTTACTTCTGATTCCATTCTCTACCTCTACAAATCTCTTATTCGTCCCTGTATGGAATACTGTTGTCATATATAGGCTGGTTCTTCTAATGAGTCACTTTCTTTTCTTGACAAGGTCCAAAAACGCATTGTAAATGTTGTTGAACCTGGACTATCTGCTAAGCTTGAACCTCTTTCCCATCATCGTAAAGTTGCATCTCTTTCTCTTTTCTACAAATACTATCATGGTCACTGCTCAAAGGAGTTATCATCTCTAGTTCCATCAAATAAAATTCATTCTCGTTTTACTCGTCATTCAGCTAAGTCTCATTCATTTACTGTATCTGTCCCTGCATGCTCTAAAAACTTTTATTCATCTAGTTTTTTTCCCCGCACTTCAATCCTTTGAACTTTTTTTTCCCCGCACTTCAATCCTTTGGAACTCTTTCCCATCTTCATGTTTTCCTGACTTATACAACCTTCAACTTTTCAAGTCTTCTGTCAACCGTTTCCTTGCTCTATAACTCTGTTCTTTTTTTCCTAGTAACTCCCAACTTAATAGTGGTTGCTTGCAGCCTTGTTGGGAGTGAATGCAAATAAAAATAAAAATAAAAACTTTATAAAGTTTGATTTTTATAATTAAAACAGAAGTTATTTTAAGTAGTATACTATTTAAAAATAATTAAAAGGATTTTTTAAAAGAAATTTAAAATATAAATTATATACTGAAGTTATATCTTCAAAATCTTTTTAAACTTAATTGGACAGACATTTTAATAAAGACTAAAGTTGTCAAAGTACTTGAAAACAATAATGGATATTTAGTCAAATTTTTTATCAGATATATTTATATATAAATGATCGTCCATAAATTACGTAACGTGAAATTTAACTAAAAGACAAAAGAAAAAGGATTAAAAGTTTTCCCTCGCAGAGTCTTTAATTAAACCAAGAATATAAACAACCCTTCAAGTCCAGCAAAAACTGCCGTGAAAAAGAGCAAAATGATCTCCTACTTAAACTTTTTAAATAAGTACTGCGTTGCATAATTTATGGAACTAACTTAATATCACATAAATTATGCGTTGCATAATTTATGGAACTAACTTAATATCACAATAACCACTTATATTGTAACCCCTTGCCCTTGGATGCACATTTATTCTTTTTTGACCCCTTCCCTGTGCACATCATTAATCAAAAAGTTGAAACCATATAGTCTCTCTTCAGACAGGGTGCAAGTAAACAATACAACTTAATCATGTTAGACAAACAACTATTTGAAAAAATTTTTTATATTGTTAAAACTAGCCTTATTATTTATGAATAACAACAAACATAGTGTCATTGCTACAAAATTTCATTTTCTACTGTTTTAATACTTTTTAATGGCCGTCCTTTTTTAACACAAAAAAAGAACCTTATAAGTTTCTTATACTAAAAAATATCAATACAAATGTTGTTTAATATTCAGTAAGATCACCTCCTATTTGAAACAACTTTAAAACAAACTTTGCTACTTAAACGAGTTCATTATTTCATGTTCATTTTGTTTGTATATAACCCATCCACAAATATTCTTAGAATTATTTTTGTTTTTTAGTTTTTTTTTAATACTATAGCACTTTCAATTTATCATGTTTATGTTATTTAAATAGTTAATTTACTATACAGCTTTTTTTTTTTTTTTTAAATTCTTAACCTCCATTTAAATGCTTGCATTTTAAATTGTCTTAGAAAAAATTCACAATTAAAATAAAAAGAACACGATGTAAACTGTTTTGGTTACTGTTATATGTTTGAAGATTTGTGAAGATATGGTAAAACATTTATCAGATGAAAAACAAATAATTTCAATGCTTGCAACGTTTGTAACACCAAAATTGTTGTTTATTTATTAATTTTTAAATATTTTTACTAACAATCAGTCAAATTAAAGTGCTATGTTAAAATCAACTTAAAAATAAATTACAAAACTATTAACTTTTTTTTTATATGTAAAAATTACTGTTACTAAATAACTAGCCTAAAAAAATGTTAAGCTAGTTAAATCAACTAGTTTAAATCTTCAAGTAAAACAACCCATTAATTTTCATAACTTAGAAATTATATTATATTTTTAAGTTTACAACTTTTACTGGCATATTTTATAATTTAATGAACTTAGCTTTTTATTTTTTAAAGATTGGATTTAAAAGAACTATACCAGCGCCAGAATTTAAAATAAAGTCATAATTGTTAAATGCTCTTATAAAAAAATTTCAGTGTTTAATTCAAAACTACTATTAAAATTTTAGTAACTTATATTATTAAGATATTATGTCAATGAACTCAAAACTTTCTGATGGTGTAAACTTACAATAATTTTATTTATAACAACAAGTATCATTGGTACTTAATAACTATAATAAACCATTAACTATTGCCTAACAAAATAAAACTACAAATCTTTTTGAAAGTTAAAGTTTTAGGAACATGAATACAATTTTTTTAATTTCCATATATCTGTTGTTCTTTTTAACATCAAATTGATTCTTTCAAACGCAGCGTCAGAATTTAAAATATGAAAATTTAACTATAATTAGGAATAGGTTAGGAGGTTACCTGACATGTAAAACAGAAGAAAATGAGAAGTTAAATATATAACAAAGATTCTTGAAAAAATAGAACTCAAAGTTTTAAGCTAACGCATTAAGAAAACAATTTTTCAAGGCTTACTTTTTGAATATTTTTTCATATTCTTTAATTTGCTTACGGGTGAACTCAGGAAACTCAGTGTAGATATTTTTTGGAGCATTAATAAACTTTGCTTGGGCTTGTCCGTCATTTACAGCATTTCTATGTGCAAGTTTAGCGGCTAATTCTGCCATTTCAAGAAAGTTTCACACTTTTTCCTGCCAAAACGAGCTTAACAATATACTACGCTTAGAGGCAGCGCAGAGACAAATATTTTATAAGCATCCCACTCGCCATCAACGCTCTTATCTTTATCGATACCAGGTTTTTCATTTAAACTAAAACGATTTTAAGTTGCAATTAGCGGCATGGAACAGAATAATAGGCAATTTTTTCAAATCTCGATTTTCTATAATGGTAATTAAATGCTAGCCGATAAGCTATCCATCTGGCTATAATAAAATTAAAATGCAAATAAATAAATGTACTATAAAACAACTAACTATTAAGTATTTAGTTTAGTTAGTAACTATTAAAACAGTTCATTTAAAACGAACTATTCAAAAAGTTGTTTAAAATGAACTATTTGATTTATATACTACAAAAATACTTAGTTTTACAAACGGACTTTATGACAATTATTTATGAAAATTGATAAAAAATGAAAATGATCATACTTACATATAGATACACAATTGATTAGATTAGAATTTAATATCAAAATCCCAACAAATATCTTGAAATCGAATGTTTATAAGAACATCTCGTTAATAAGAACATCATAATTTCATATAGACACACAATTGGTTAGATTAGAATTTAATACCAAAATCCCAACAAATATCTTGAAGTTGAATGTTAATAAGAACATCTCGTTTACACTAAATAAACTTTAAATATTCAGTCTTAGCCGCCTTTGGATGAAACAATAAACAAAATACACCAATATTTTACTTATATATATATGTATATATATATATATATATATATATATATATATATATATATATATATATATATATATATATATATATATATATATATATATATATATATATATATATATATATATATATATATATATATATATATATATATTATACAACTTTATCAAATTATGTATCGCGTTTTGCTTTAAATGTTCAACTTTTTAAATATCGTGGTTTATATGCTATAAATTTTGTTACAAAAAAGTACAATTGTTTCGCTCATTGTTCTAACAAAATAAAATAATTTTATGCCGCAACTCAATAATACAATTTTCAACAATGGATTGTTAAAGTATAAAGAATAAAAGTTTTGTTAAATTTTGAAAAGACAACGAGGAATGTGCGAACTTATATTTTGCAAACTCGCGCTTCAAAGTTGCAACAAAATATTAAACAACGTTGCGACAACTAAATAATGCAAAGCTATTTACTATAGATATACATTATTTAAAATTCTATAAAAGTTTTTAAACAGAAATTAGTGAAATTCTAGAAGGGTGAAATCAAAAGTTTACCGCACTGGGTGACACTAACCCCTTTGACGCCACTGTTTTTAATCACTTATAATTTAAGTAATTTTTATTCATAAACATTATGGTTTATAAATAAAAATATATACTAATTTTAAGTATGTAATATTCATTTATAAACATAACTTAATACTTTAAATTAATATTTGAGCAAATCAATTCTTAAACAAAAATTTATATTCATGCATTATACAAGTACTACTTATAAGTAAACATCAATGAAAAACAAACAAAAAAAAAGAACAGTTCAATACCTAAACAGAAAATTTTTTTTAATATAAGTAAAATATGATGCCGATTTTAGGCTAACATACCATTTGATCTGATTAACTTCAGATGGCATAAAAAATTAGCGGAGAGTGGGGTATTGGCAAAGACCTAAGCGGGAATGCGAATTAAAGACACCATTTATACAAAATTGATCATATTTATTGCTTATCAATTAGTTTAACTATTCAGTCACAAACTCTCAAAAGCAATTTTTATAAATCTTATAAAATAAAAATTAATGGCAAAAATAAAACCATCAGAGTTCGGAACTACCATACGGACATGGAGTAATTCCAAACACATCGGGGGGGGGGGGGGGGTCAAACAGAAACACTGTTTTGTAATAACTAATAATTACTAACTGTAATTACTAAGTCTAAAAATTATATTATGCAACAACAACAACAAAAAATGACTGCCTTTATTTCCATAGAAGCTACAATAAAATGCTACTCAAGAAAAAAGTTGCATAAAGTTATTAGAAAAAGTTAAAATCAAATTATAGTAAACAATATTCGCAGCTACATTACACTACTGCACGTCTGGAACTGAGCATGGGATCCCTTCTCAGCAGGTAAAAAGAAATTGTCAAATTTATTTTTCTACAATGCTGTTTTTACCATGTTTGGAGTTACCCTGCGTTTGCCATTACCCCACTCTCCCCTAAGCATATTTATACTATGCTCAGGTCTACATTTTTTAAATATTCTTTATTAAAAAAACAAATGTATAAGTTTTTAAATTTTTTGAGTGAGATTATTTGAAAAAAATAGTAGTAATAGTAGTAGTAATAGTAGTAGTAGTAGTAGTAGTAGTAGTAGTAGTAGTAGTAGTAGTAGTAGTAGTAGTAGTAGTAGTAGTAGTAGTAGTAGTAGTAGTAGTAGTAGTAGTAGTAGTAGTAATAGTAGTAGTAGTAGTAGTAGTAGTAGTAGTAGTAGTAGTAGTAGTAGTAGTAGTAGTAGTAGTAGTAGTATTAGTAGTAGTAGTGTAGTAGTAGTAGTAGTAGTAGTAGTAGTAGTAGTAGTAGTAGTAGTAGTAGTAGTAGTAGTAGTAGTAGTAGTAGTAGTAGTAGTAGTAGTAGTAGTAGTAGTAGTAGTAGTAGTAGTAGTAGTAGTAGTAGTAGTAGTAGTAGTAGTAGTAGTAGTAGTAGTAGTAGTAGTAGTAGTAGTAGTAATAGTAGTGTCGTTTAACTTTCGTTTTTAAAGTAGTTTCTAGGCTTTCCTAAACCCAGTTTTATATTCCACGCGGTCTTTTAAGCAAAATATATATACATATTATTATTATTAAATTTATATAAATTTTTAGTTTCAAGAAGAATTGATGTTGTTCATTGTTTAAAAACTAAAATAAAAATTTAAATAATCGTTTGTTTGTTCCTGGTTGTTTTTATTTTTCCAATTTTTACAGCCTGTTTTCTTTTTTTAGAAGAGGTTCGTACTAAAATGAATGATAAATGTAACATTGTACTAAATAATTGTACAGTCATTTTAAGAAACATTAAATGTTTATTTTTAGTAAAGTGTTGTGTATATAGATGAAAGTGTATTTTATATTTTTCAGATAATATATCAAGTTAAATTGTTATTTAATTATTTCTAGCCCGTATTACGGGTTGCTTACTGCTAGTATTTTAAAAAATTTAAATATTCATGCATCTTTTATGGATAAAGTTTCCAAAATTTTCAGTTTTAAATGGGTTATTACCCATTTATTTTTATAGTATTGGTTAAAAGTGTTAAATGAAAGATTTTTCATAAACTTGGTTGCACAACCATAACCTTATATACATCTAGTCTTTTTTATTTTTATTCAAACGCTTCTGTTAAATTACTTGTTTAGATATTTTTGAACTGCAATAGTGTCAAAATTATAAAGAAAAACCACGTCTTATTATAAGTTTATAATGTTACCCAATTTCAACAAAATAGTGACGTTTAATGACGTTTCCAAAATTAAATGGTCTATGGTTAGTAGAAAAAGAAAATTGGTTTCAACGGTTATAATAAAGTTGTAAAGGAAACCTTAAGGGAAGTCTTAAAGATTATATAAATAACAGTACCTCTAACTGTAAATTCCTTTTTTTTTTAATAGTCGATGTAATATCTTGCTTTAAAATTTCTCAATCAATAAGTAAAAACAACTAATGTCTTAGAAGTATTTCCTCATCTGTTGGAAAGTGTTTTTATCAGTTTTAATCAGTTTTATAACAGTATATTTTTCCTTTATTGAGTTTAAACTTAATGATTACTTTTGTGGGTTTCTGTGAAATAAAATTTAATAAAGTTCCTTTCTACACTTTATAAATTATATAAGCAAATTTATAAATGATCAACTTCATCCCCCTTCCACGTATAAATGATCAACTTTAACTATTTTCATTTTTTAACGGCCTCTTAACAAACATTGAAACCCCAAAAAAAGAGATTTAAATGCGATTTACAAGAGTTTCTCTAGTTTCGAAAAATTGTTGGTGAATATACATGTTAAACATATCTTATATGGCTTTTTAATTCGTCTTAGGAGCTGTTTTTTTTAGTTTTGGACTAAATAAAATAACCCAAAATAAAAATTTTAGACTCTTGTCTAAAAATAATACAAAAAAACAATAATATAAAAAAATGTAATTAAAAAACTCCGTTGCTCAAAAAAACTAAGCTAGGAAATAAAAATGATCTTTTTAATCGTTGATTTCAATCCAGATAAACTTAGTTATAGTTAATTAATTCTATTTCTAATTACTTTGATACCTCATAATCTTATTCGTTTCCAGCCTTCCATAATACTACTTACTCTTATAACAGCAACAATCTCGTATCACACGATATAACAGCAACAATCTCATATCACACGGCACAATTTTCCTGTGCTTCTGGCAAAGTCAGCTAAATAAAGTTTCTGGGCAATGCTTTAATAAATTTAATACTAGCAAATTTAACCTAGAAATTTCAACAATCATGAGAGAACACTTGAATAAGAAAGATGACAATATTAATCATTTTTTCAATCTTTCAAATCTTTCTAAAAGATTTGAAAAAATCTTTGACCAAAATGTCCATTTTAAAGCTTTATTAAAATCAAACTTAAATATAAATCCTGGATCTCTATAAAGGTTTAAATAAATTTATTTCTGTGAAAAAAAAACCC